CCAAGGCCCCGGGCCAGGGTGCTCACCGAGCCAGGACGGGGCTCAGGCACCCCACCCTCGTAGCGGCCCCAGCGCCGGGTGCCATCCTGGTACTCCATGTAGGGTCCTGAGAAGACAGCCTGCACCTCAGCCAGGTCGTAGCGGCAGATGGCTGAGGCCTCCAGGGTCTTCCTAAGAACGGGGCACAGGGAAGGGGCCGGGTTGCAGGGTGGAGGCTGGAGCCACCGTCACCAGGGCCATCCCTGTGGTCACTGGCCTCTGGCCCCAGGCTAGCTAGGTGTGGCTGACCATCCCGTTTTGCACCCGGCTTCCCCACCAAGGCTCCTAACGAATCTAAACTGGCCATGGCTTATGGCCCTGTTGTCCCCGGCTCCCGGCCTCCCCGGTGCTCTGTGCTTACCACTGTGTGGTCAGCGTGAAGGCTGCATAGAAGTGTGTGCGGGCAGAGAGGTCAGCATCCAGACTGCAGACCCCGCGCAGCGTCTCATACTGGGGGATGTGGCAGAGGAGACGGGCCTTCAGGAAGGACGTCCACTTCTTCTGCAGGATCTTCTTCCCTCCTAGATCTCCCTGGGGAGTAAGAGCACGGGCCAGGGTCAGGAGCCACGTCAGCAGTCCAGCCTCTATCCCGTGTCCCAACCGCATTCCTGTCCACCTTGCACACACGCGCCACTCGGGCCACACGGTGGCTGCTGCGGCTCGGGTTGAAGCTGCTGGAGCCCTCCTCAGCGGCAGCACGCTCCGTGAAGAAGAAATAAACCTTGTCATCATCGCCCACCGCGCTGGCCTCACTCTCCCGCACCAGTACAGAGAACACAAATTCAGCATCTGTGGGTGTAAAGGTTAGGGTGGCTTCTCAGATGCGTGGGGGACCTCTGCGGCCCTTCCCTCCCCGACAGCACAGGAGTGGAACGGCCAGGCTCCCCGGGGGCTAGACCCACGCTAAGCCGCCCAAGGGAGTAAGCACAGACCCGCCGTCCACCTCATCCTCCTAACCGTTAAGCCAGTGCACGGGAGCCTCCTCAGTTCTCAGCGAGTGCGGATGGCGGCTCCGGCGGATGTCAGGGATGCTCCGAAACTCGTACCGCGTGGCCGTGTAGAGGCCTCCATCTCGGCAGGGACGACAGACATGTCAGGTACATGGGGGCAAGTACTACAGGACGCGCATCCCGCACAGAGCCCCTGGGTGGCAGGTGGGCGTGCTCACCGATAACCAGACCGGTGAAGCCCCGGGTGGGGTCATATGGGCACCTCTCCTTCCCCTCCTCGAAGCTACTAGGCATGGTGAAGGACTCGGCATCCTGGGGAAACAGCAGCAGTCAATAGTCCCGAGGAGAGACAGGGCTGTGGCCCGCGCAAGTCGGCCGGGTCTGGCGTTTGCGGGCCAGGGCGGGGCAGGCACACTCACAATGGCGGCACAGAGGGGCTGGAAGGCGTGAGTCCCACATGCGTAGAGGTGCGTGGCGTTGAGCCGCTGTAGGAACCGCACATGATTGAAGCACTCCGTCTATGGGACGAGGTACAGGAGAGGCATGGACCCCTGCCTGGCTCGAGGCCTCCTCCACTGCTGTTCCTTTTCTTTTTTTGTAGTACTAGGAATTGAACCTGGGGCCTTCACAGTGAGCTACATTCCCAACCCTTTTTACTGTATTTTTAAAAATTTGAGTTAGGGTCTCGCTAAGTTACCTAGGCTAGACTGAACTTGGAGTCTTCCTGCCTCAGCCTCCAAGAATGCTAGGATTACAGGAGTGAGCCACCGTGCCTGGCTTGGTAGTTTGGCTCTTGCTTCCACTTTCAAGATAAAAGAGTTCTTTCCAAGATGCTCATGGACCTTTGCACTACCTAGAACACATGCTGTTCCCTGGAAGTCAGTGTTCTTGGCTTTCCAGCAGCATAGCCCTGATACCACTCTGCCGGCTTCTCCTGCAGCCCCTTCTATGCCCAGCTCAGGCCCATCCAGTGCTCCCACCATCCTGACACGCTTCTCTCCTACTGTGCCCAGTTCTGGAGGGTTCCTGAGCCCTCCCTAGAGTGACACCAGGAGACCCAGGCCAGGCCCTGTCCCCTCTCCACCTGCAGGGCCCAGACAGTCAGATTCGCCTCCTCGCCTCCTCCCTAAGCTACATCTTCCCTCCCAAACCTGTCCCTCCAGTCTTTCCCACCTCACTCCCCTTCCCAGTTCCAGAAGCCAGGAGTCACCTCCTTTGGGCTTCTCACCCTCCACCCCACACTCAGTCCCTCTGTGATTTGTTCTTTGTCCTAAACGGCTGCAACTTGGTCTCTCCACCTGCACCACCACCCTGGGCATCGCCACACTGTACCTTCTTTGAACAAGTGCTGTGACCATCTGACCACCCTCCCCAAACTACTTAGCAAATGAGGGATACTTTATGTTGAGTAAACTCAAAAAGCATAAAGGGCCATGTTGCAAATAGCTTCCCATTACCTGCAAAGGGGCCTGCTGCCACCGGCCACAGTTCCCTCCAGAGGTGCCCCTTGGAGACCGCTTCCCAAAGCACGGCGCACAAAAGGGAACACGGTCACCGGCACCAGTTCCGAGGACGAGGACGGAATCCTGCACGGGCTGGGCCTGTATGGCCGGGCCTTGGGCTTTCTCTGCCTCACTCACTCTATCCACACTGGCCTTCGCTGCCCCTCAGGCGCCATGTTCCTCATGTCCTTGCTTCATTAGTGATCCCTCCTCCTGCCTGCTACTCAGTGTTCGAGCCCATGCAGCCTTCCCATCTCCTCCCCCACTCCCTCCTTCCTATCAGTGTGCTCAGGCCTGGTGCCTGGGGCCAAATAACTATTGCTAGAGCGATCTTTCCCTGAGCTGTTTACACTTATTGATTTTGTTTTTCTGAGATACGGTCTTACTGGATAGTCCAGGCTGGCCTCGAACTCACAGTGACCCTCACGCCTCAGCCTCCCAAATCCTGGGACTACAGGCGTGCACTACCACAGCTGACTTAAAATGTTTACATTTAAAAAGGAGACTTGGAGCTGGGGATGTGGTGGCACATGCCTGTCATCCAGCACGCCAGGAGGTTGAGGCAGAGTTCAAGGCCAGCTTGGACTACACAGCAAAACCCTGTCTCACAAAACAAAAACAGGATGGCAGTTAGGAGAAATTCTGTGGTCAAATCAATCTGGAAGCTGCAGATACACTGTTTTCACTGGAGGTCGTGATGTTGCTGCGTCCTGTGGGATAGCGCGAGCAGTGCTTTCCAAATGAATTTGACCAATAAACTCTTCTTCTGAGAATTACTGTTTTGAACATGCTTTGGGAGGTGCCCTCAACAGCTGTTTGGAGGATCTAGCAGGGGAGCTACTCCTGCACCCTTAGCCGAGGACGGGCCTCCCCTATCCCGGTGGGCGTCCTCTCCCACCAGCGTCCAGCTTTGGGAGGGACTAAATGCAGCGGTGAGGCAGGAAGGGGACCTTGCCTGGCAGCCAGACCAGCCGAGTCAACCGTGCAGTCAGAGCGCGGACAGGTGTCACAGCCAGACCACCCGCATCCCCACTGGTGTTCCTTAAAGCCTCGGGACACTGCCCCAGCTTCGTCTGGGAGTTAGGTAGAAACGCAGAACCTGTGTCCTTCCCGACTGCTAGTTAGCACTGCACTTGCAACTGAGTCCTGGCGATTCCTCTACAAGCTACAGTTTGAGTACTCCTGGGTAGCAAACTGTCACAGAGTAAGATGCAAACCTCCGCGGTGCCCTGGCTCCCTCCCTAACCCATGCACACTCAGAGCAGCCTTTGACAGAATCCCTGGAGGGGCTCATGAAAGGCCGTGTCCCAACACCATCGAGCCCACCGAGTCAGAACCCCCAGCCCGGGGACAGCTCTCCAGACAGGTCTGTCCCACAGGACCCCAGCAGACACCTTCTTCTTCAGCTGACGCTTCACTAACTCCCCTCCGTGGAATATGGGCACCTGGGCTCTCCCTCCACCAAAGCCTTATTTTTCTCATCTGTAAAACGGGAACTACTATGGCTTCAAAGTTATTTTAGAACGAGGTGAAGAGAATAGGAAAATCAACACTTAATAGGTTACTAATTGTAATCATGACTATAGTTTGGGAGCCCAGAGGGGATTAGGAGGCCATGACAGGCCAGGCTAACAGGCCACCAGATGGTTGGATTAGAAGGCCGTGCCCAGGGCCTCCACTTTGGCAGCACTCACAATGTTTACTGTGCTTGTGCAATTGGTCGGTACCACCCCATCATGTCCTTTCCAACCCTGGCGTCCCTGATCGAAAAGGAAAAGAAATGAAAAACTCAGGGCAGATCACATTACCTGGTTGTTCTTTCCTTTTTGATGACATTTTCTTCGCGTCTCCAAGGAGGCCTCCCACTGAATCTAGGGACAAAGGGAACACACTGACCGTAAAGTCTATCACTCACAGGACCAGACAATAGGACGCCAGGGGGCTGGGGCACTGAGGCAGGAAGCGCAGCTGTCTGGGGGCTATGGAAGGCAGGTGGGGTTTCTGGGAACCTGGGGCCCCAGGGCGCTGGATGAGCCTGTGGTCTTGGCTTCAAGTGCTAACCTCTTTGTGAGCCCCATCTCCTATGTCCCGGGCGCTGAGCGAGAACAGGGCACCTCGCGCTCCCACCAGCAGTCTTGCTGAGGCCTCCTCTAGGAGCAGCGTTGAGTAGTTCTGGGCTTGGGCCTGGAAGTGCCTGACCCCAGAGAGCTCTGGGGGAGTGGGGCAGTGAGCCGGGCGTGTGGGCTGCTTCCTGCCCCAGCCCTGGCTCCCACAGCCTTCCACGGATGAGGCTCGAACCTTCAAAGGGGATGGTCATCCGCGGGGTGGCATCCAGCTCTCGGGACGGTCTCCGCAGGGAGGGCCCAGGGGCTGCCCCTGCCATGAGGAAGCCTAGGAGAAGGGGCCAGAGGCTCCCCCACATCTTCCTGGGGAGGTCCAGACCAGCAAGACCCCCAACAGGAGCCAGGACCGGAGGCACAGGAGGGAGGGGAAAACAGTCACCGGGGTCAAAGTCCAGCAAGGTCAAGTGGAAAGTCAGGGGTCAAGAGGCCGTGGGGGTCAAGCCGTTACGGGGCCAGGGAGGATCCTGGAATGGGGGGGACATGGAGCCACAGAGTCCTATGGCCATGGAATCACAGCTCAGAGCCAGAGAGCGGGACCCATCACATGCCTTCCTGCATCAGATGCAAACTCCATGGTGAACTGGACTGGAGGAGTCAGAGGGCTGTAGGCTCCTAATGGGGTCCCCTGACCGGTACTGCGGGGCTGGCTAGTCCTGCTTCTCTGACATCTGTTTTGAAGGAGGAAAAAAGGAGAAAGTGCTTTGATCTACATAAGGGTAAAAGACGGATGGCATTACCCAGACTTCAGGGGAAACTAAAGGTAGGGGTACAGAACCCCCCTGCCAGGTCAGCTCCACTCTGATGGAGAGGCTGGGGTGGAACCTGCCTTCTTGCCCCAATCCAAGCCCAAGGTAATGGGCCTCTTCTGGTCAAGTCAGGGTTTTGGTTCTCAGAGCCAAGGCCTGTGCCTGCAGCACTAGCTGCCCTGCTGCCAGCCCTCCGCAGAAGGCCTGGGCAGGGACATTTAATGGGCCTTTGTTCAGTCTGTCCTGTTTCCCTTTGTTTTTTCTTTTCCTTGGCCTGAGCGCTCCCTCTGGAATTTCTCTTTAATTAGACACTTCTCCTCCGCGGCATTCTTCTCCAAGGGGGTGAACATTTCTGTCCTGCCCGTGCGAGTCAGTACTGCAGCCTTCAGCGAAGCGTCCCATGTGTTCCTACCTGACAGCAGGCACTCACAGGCCCGGGGCGCGGGCCTGGGGTGGGTGGGCCTCTGGGTGCCCCTAGCTGCACAGGAAAGTCTGTGCAGGAGGTGTGAAGCAGTGCTCCGGACTTAAGCCACGTTCGGGAGTGAGCACTGGGCCCCTGGAGCTCTTGGCCACCTCCCCCAGTCCATCTGGACACTGTTCCCCAGCCTGGACCCTCTCTCAAGCCAGCCACTGGGGATGAGGTGGGCATGGGTGACAGGGGCCTTAAACTCCAAGGGGGCTTCCCAAACTGGGTTGGGAGTGGAGGCGGCCAGACCCACCCCGTCTCACCAGACACCCACAGGCAGGGTCAGAGGGTGCTGCTGCCCTCCTATCCCTTTTGGGTCAAATATTAACTACCAGGCCTTCAAAGGAAGGGAGGGGTCAGGAGCAAGCTGGAGGGAAAACAGGAATCTGGAGGGTTTCTTCCAGAGGTGAAGGTCAGCACTGTTGCAGGAGGGCAGAGAGGAACACAAGAGGGACAGAGGAGGGCCCCTGGGCACCTGCCTTGGGGGCTGGGGCAGCAGGAGGCTCCAGGCAGGCCGCCCGTGTCCAGGCCCTCACCGTGGGGCACACCTGTTTACCCTGGAGCCTCCTGTTTGCTCGGCAAGAAGGGAGAGCCTTAGGACTGGACGGGGTGGGGCGGGAGGGGGAACACACCCAGAGAAGAGGAGCCACTCGGTGCACAGGGCACACTTATACAGGCTGCTGTGTCTCACAAGCCCAGAGAGAGGCAATGCACGCACCCAGCTGTGCACACATGTTCATGAGGAGGGCTGTGAACACGTGTACCTGCAGGACAGTCAGTCACACAGCCGTAAGGAGGTTCCAAGCAGCTATGTCCACAGAGGACAGGGCAGCAGGTGGTCATGCACACTCAGGTGTCCACGTGGCCTTCCATTCAGCAGGCTGTAACACACACGTGTGGGTTTATTTAAAGGCTGCACAGCCATGCGACAGGAGGGCCTGAATGCAAAGGGGCAGGCACACAAAGCACGACAGTGGGTCAGGCACAGCAGTGTTCACAGAAGGACCGGTAGTTCTCAAACATACAGCTGCATCCATGCGGAAACGAGCACAGTACACACAACGATCTGCCGTCCGCCTCCACGAGTGAAACGCAGAGCTGAACTCTGCCTCCCATTTCGCAGGGCAGATCCTCCGTGCGGTGATGGGGAGGCTTCTGACCTGGGGCCAGGGCAGGTGCGGGGTGCAATGGAGGAGGGGCTCGCCAGAGGAAATGGAATTAACTTCGGTCCTCTACCCTCCCGGCTGCGGCCGGAGCTCTCAGCCCACCGAGCCTGCCACCCCTTCCCGGCTCAGCGAGTTCAAGGTCTGCAGTCCACACCCCGCGCTGCCCAGCTGTACAGTTCTGGTTCCTCCCAGAGCCTGGCCCTGAACTCTGCGATCGCCTGCTCTTTACGAGCCCACAGGGGGAGAAAACTAGATCTCGACCGATCCCTGGGCGGAGGGAGACGCCGCGGCCTCGGCGGAGGGTCGGGGGTTCTCGACCTT